TCCGTCCGTCCGTCCGTCCGTCCGTCTGTCCGTCTGTGCACACGATAACTCGAGTAAAAATTGAGATATCATAACGAAACTTGGTACGTGGACTTCTTTTGGGCATAGGACGGATGGTATGAGAATGGGCGAAATCGGACAATAACCACGCCTACCTCCCATATAACGGTAATTTTCAGAAATACGAAAAGTGCGATATTTTAGTAACTACTGAAGATAATTCACTCAAAATTGATATTTACAATGAGTTTTAGACGAAAAATTAGAATATTAAAAAATTTTGGCAAATGGGCGTAGCCACGCCTACTTATGGTTACATGTGTATATCTTGGTAACCGCTGCACCAATTTCTTCCAAACTTGGCACAGTTGTTGGTCCGGCTACAACATACCAAATGGCCGAGAATTTTTAAAATCGGACAATAACCACGCCCACATCCCATATAACGGTAATTTAGAAAAATACGAAATCCTCGATAAATCAGTAAATATTAAAGCTAATTTATTCAAAATTGATGGTTGCAACAATTTTTTACCAAGAAATACGCGTATGATACAATTTTGGAAAATGGGCGTGGCACCGCCCACTTATGATCACATATATGTATCTCGCTAACCGTTCTAGCAATTTGAACCAAACTCGGTATGGTTATTGTGCTTGCCACATAAAAGCAAAGCGTTGAAAATTATTGAAATCGGACTAGAATTACGACCGCTTTTCATATAACGGTATATTTCAGAAATGCTTGAAACTGCAATATTTCGAAATTTAAGGACGCTAATTTACTTAAAATTTATACACCCCGGCTTATCGTGTAGCGGTAGCTTTCGGAAAGGTGGAAAACATATATTTAATAATTGCGCCGGGTATTTAATGTTCGGCTCCGCCCGAACTTAGACTTTCTTACTTGTTATATTAACTATCGTACAGTGCTTATTTTGTGGACACAAACATTAAAATAGTAACTTTTCTCTATATTCAATTTTTCGACAGGAAACATGGTTTTATTGTGTTAAATTGCAAAATATGTGATTTATAAAAAGAATTAATAGTGAAAATGTTAAAAAACGGCGATTTTTGTGAAAGTATTAGAAAATTTCAGTGCATCTAAAGTTTCTAAAGCGTTGTTTACTTTTACTTGAGAATTGAGTAGCGGTTTCTGGAACGTGCCACATTTGTCCGCATCGTCATGTGATAAAAAGAAAAGCGGGCAGCACTCCGCAAGGTTACAGAAATCTTTCAAAATATGTTCGAAAAATATCTGGAAGGAACTGCTTTACACTGTCAAGGAAAAAAATGCCAAAGCTCAACGCAATTTTTAGCAAATTCAATCTTGCACTTTATTAAACTAAAATTAAATTGTTCTTAGAGTATAATTAAAAAGTTTGCCATTTAGGTTTGCCATTTTTCCAGATTCTACCACAGAAATTTTTTTCAAGTCCGATCACTGGTTCTCGCCCTTCTTTATAGAGAGTTTAAAATACTTTACCGTTCCCTCAGTTCGCCCGCCAGGATTTTTTAAGTTTTCCAGCATTTTACCATACAAAATTGAAAATAAAAAAATGAAATTGTTCAAAATTGGTGAAAATGAGAATGCGTGTGTGAGATTCAGTTTTACATTTTAAAATTGCTCAATGTAAAATTTCAAAAATCGTATGGAGCAAATATGTACATCGAACGATTCTTAAATCTGAAATGTTTGTGCAAAGTTTCAGATCCAGATCCTTAATTTGAAAGTAAATTGTCCCTGTACGATTATATACAGATTTATAATACAAATATAACCATATTTGCCTCAGAAAAAATTATCGAAATAAACCATGTAAGATTTATATATGGCTATGGGAGCCAAAAGCAAAATTTTTGTTTTGCAGATCTTCCGCTGTATTACATTCCCATAGCAATTCTTTGCTCGATATGAAACAAAAACGGACGAAAACGAATAAATGGAACATAATAATGCTCAAATCAAAATAAAGCGCACAGCGCTGCAGCGATGTTGTTGTTGATACTGTGTATGAATGCATGTATGTGCAACAACGTTGTGTATGTACATATGTACAGAGCCAAAGGGAACATTTTCTTTGCAGATCTTCCGCTGTATCGCTGCCTACATGCACACGAACGTAGCAACCCTGGTAGACAGCTATTAGCTAAATCTCCCATGAATTTTCCAGGAGCGTTACCTTATGTATCCGGTAAAGTTTATATGAGTTTCTTAAGGCCCGTGTGCGGAAATTACCCTATAGTCTCCTATACGTGGCAGCTTTTGTCTTTTTTAACACACTAGTAAAATATGTCTCCTTATGTATAGCTTCTCTCTTCTTGTCGTAAATCTTGTTGAGTATCTGTACTCTTTTCACATTCACGTATGTCATACTCAGCCATATATAGCTTGTTCACTCTTTCAGTACTCCTACGAAGTGAATACATCAACAACTACCGGTAGTCTTACCGAACGATTACCGCAAAACCTACTGGTAGTCTTACCAAGCGATTACCGCGAAACCTACCGGTAGTCTTACCAAGCTATTTCCGCAAAGCCTACCGGTAGTGTTACCAAACGATTATCCTATTCAATTGAAATTTTTTTCTTATCTTTTCAAACTTTTCACATTTTTAATTATTTTGTATGTTTATGTCCCTTACATATTTATATCCAAACATATATGTATATATACATATAAATAATTTGCGCATAACAGGCTCCACCTCTCCAGAAGCGCCCTTCAGTGTATGTATGTGCGTTTTCTGTTTTAAAAAATAGGTACTTAGTTTCGAGCAGGATTTGAATGGTATTGCTCAACGTCATTTTACACATTAGTATTAGTTTCGCGGCGATACCGAATTCAGTGTTAATTTTAATAAATACATAAATAGCTTTTCATACTTGTAGTTTAATTAAGGAATAATTGCCTCTTTTGTGTCCAAAACTTGTTAAAAGATGTAAGGTATTTTGTTTTTGTTTGCCTTTTTCAATTGATGACAAGTCAAGGAACACCATACTTGGGTCCAAAATAAATGTATTATTAATATCACACGAAAATAGAAACAAAAAGTTTGTCCCCTTTGGGTCTAATTTGAAGTAGAATAATGATGCGACAAATTATGCACGATTTCTCTCATAAATTTACAGATGCACTCATAAATTGATTGCGCAATATTATTTAGCATGGTGATAAAAAATGTCGAGGTAATGGAAAGTTTTTTGCGTCAGATAAGTAGATAGAACTGAGGTTTGCGAGAAAACTGCAAATCTGGTTGTTCCAGTCTGAAAAAAAAACGCTAATTTCGCAAAATCTCAAAACACAGTAGATTTGTACAAGCTTTTATTTAACTTGTTTTTAGGGGCAAATCTTGCAATAAATTTTTAACCAACTTCCCGAAGAGCTAGAGCAGATCTTCCTAAAGTCGGTTCCGCGGAAATAACCCAAGGGTTCCGTAGAAAAGTCACCGGGGTTCCGCGAAATTAATTTTGATATAAATAAGCACGGCGGTCGGTTTGAGTTGCACACGTAAAGAAAAGTTCTATAAACAGCTTGACGGGGACGCAATTATCTATTTTCAAGTATACATATTATGTACTCGTAGTTGGTATTTTTGCCGTACTGAGTGCCATACCTATTGAGCTTGCGCTTGCCAGCTTGTTTTTTTCTAACAGTTATGTGTTGTTGGCCGCTGTAGTCTAAAGAGTTATATACAACTTTCTACAAGGAACGCAATGAATTGCCAAATGAAATGTGATATGTCGTAACTGGGAACTTGGGAAGTCACCTGAAATCTTTGTCAGATTATTTTTCGGATGGTAGTACTAATATCGGTTTGGTACAAAATCCATTTACAAAGCAGAGTACTTCGACATTGAAACACACATTTGAATCTGTGTCTCTGAAAGAGTTTTGGGTAGAGTAAATATCATGAAGTCGCTAAAAAGGCCATCTTAATTTAGCTTCCTTCTGTCACAACGTACTCTGTCAACAGGCTTTTCAGCTTACACTTACACAAAAAAAAATTCAGGTCGAAATTGGATGTTACTCCAGAAATGCGCATACAGCTTTCAGACATTAAATCGAACTACCATTTTATACAATAAATAATAACAGTGATACAATTCCATTCTTCACATTAAAATTTAAAGTATGTAAACTATTTCTAGTAACAGTTTTTATTCATTTTTAAATTTAACTGCCTTTGATTTTTAGTAATTTGATGTGGGGTTCCATAAAATGAAAGGTCTTTAGCAAGGGTTCCATCTTCTTGAAAGTTTAGGAACCCTTGAGCCAGAGACTTGAAATTTCAAACTTAGCTCAGAACCCGATGACAATGCAATATGAAACACGAATTAATCCCCTAGGTGACGCAGGCGTCGAGATGTTTCAACAGCCCGTATTTATAGTCCAATTTCGTTCCTATTTGAAATGTATATTACCTACATGAAAGGAAGTAAGTCCACACAAATCGTACTAGGCGAGGGGTCAATATATTTCGATAACCTGTATCTATGATTTTATGTACTTTATATTTATAATAACGTAACTTACATAAAAAGGAATAATTTAATAATAAATCCGGTAGGTAGTGCAGGAGTCGAGATATGTAGAAAGCTTGTTTTAAACAGACTTTTGGACTATTAACTTATTTATATTTTTGATTTAATCCGATTCTGTGAGTTTTTTACATAATAAAGGAGTATAAAGTTCACGATTTTCATTCATTTTGTATAAATATGACGTTTTTCCCTGAATGCATATGGTTTCTAAATTTTCAAATGCAACATACTAAGTACAATTATCATATTTGAACAAAATTTTGCAGTTTATTTTTAGGCCAAAAGGCAGCTTATTCCGCCCGGAAAACTGTATATTTAAAAAAAGTTGAAATAACGAACGGTCTAATATACATATTTATGAAAATCAAGCATAAACGTTTTATTTATTTTCATCGCGTCTGCATAAACAATTATTTTTAATGTATATTTACTGTTCGAATTTCTTTCACAGGCTGTGATTGGTTACACGAGATTTCCATTAACGTGCGTGGTGTGAAACCCCAAAATCGCATTCCCAATGAACGACTTCAGCGCATTGCGATGCTCGAGAGCAATATATTACTCGATAACCTATTTAAGATCGCGAGCAGTGCAGATTCAGCAACGTTAGAAAAAAATCTTGCCTTGGATGTTCTTATATGGATTTGCTTTATAAGATTAAATCGTTTCCGTTCGCCCAAATCTGAACGCATTAAAACACAAATAAACAAAAGCACTGCTTCCACGAATACGGATTTGATGGCACAGCAGTTTGAATGTATTTGTGTGTCGGAAAAGTATCTTGAAAATATGCTGAGAAACTGCATTATACACAGCAATCGCACTATGGCACACAAATGTGTGAAACTTATCCTGATACTAACTGAGTAAGTAAAAAGTCTGTAGAAATTTCTTTAAGTATGCACATAAAATGAGATACCTACTTATTTAAAAAATTTAACAATTATATTAGTACATATAATATATATATAAGTACATACTAGGGATGTTAATTTTTCGATTTTTGCGATCCCGGGATTTTCGGGACATCGTTCATACAATCCCGGCATCCCGAGATTAGTTCCCCGGGATTTAGATATTCATTATTTTCCAACAACTTAACATAAAAAATTGCATCTATTTAGTTTGATAAATAAATAATGATAATAAATAATAAATAAATGGTTTGCAACCTAATTTATTATTTAAGTTGAAAAATATTTCATTAGTAACAGTAATTAAATTTATACGCATTTAACAATACTTTAGCGTGTACATATCTGATATAGTAACTTAAGAAATGCCGAAAAAAGCTCGATGCAAAAAAAAAACTTAAGTCAACATATGTATTGTGTGGCGGAAAGAAGTTCATTATACTAGAGGCTGGAATAAAAGAAACGCCTTATTTCAACCAGTTTAGTCTATATTTCTTTTCTTTATTTAATATTTAATTTTTTTATAAGAGTCTATCTCATTTTACATATAATTAACTGCATTTAAATGCGCATTTCAAAATTTGTACAAATAATATAAAAATGCCAAACATTTGCCAAATTTTTAAACTTTTTACTCAGCATTTTTAGAAAAATTTTAGGAACGCAGTTTTATAGCCCATTAAATTAAAGTAGGATAAAAGGCAAGTTTCATGCAATTACAAAATACCGTTGATTTTGGGAATTTGTTAAACGATGCTGGGCATCGTCCATATAAACAAATTGTCGAACATACTTGGTACGGGAGAAAATGCGTGTCACCGGCAAAAAAAAAAATATAAAAATCAACGTTACTTTTAGTCACTTGAAACTTGCACTTTATCCTCTTCTTATATAATGGACTATATTTATAAAATTGCGTACCTAGATTTTTTCTGGAGTGCAATGGGGTATAATCGTTGTGCTGTGTATGCAGTTACAGTTGCACGGCTATACTCAATCCCGACTCTTGCGTCCTCGTTCGCGCACTCTGGGCAACGTAAGCAACACATGTGCGAGATGCGGTAACCAATCGGAGTGGAGCCTTGGGTCACGGCAGAAAGAGAGGGAGCTTCGGTGGTGCCCCTCCGACTTATTCGATTTAAGGGCTCACTGAAGTCTGCAACGTCTATGCACCAGTAGGTGCGGCTGCAAGCGGGTCTGTCTTGGAGCAAGCGGCTCGATATGTAAACGTGTATTTGGTTGCGAAACCACCCCCGTCCCAGCAATGGGTTGTGCGCTGGGTTTGGGACCCGCCACGTAAAAACCTCTTCCAGTGAAGAAGCGAAACAATGCCTCGGATGAGACGCCCCCTTATTATGACGACCACGGCAAATTTTAAAGGACTACGATTTGAGGGCATGCTCCTGGAATGTCCGGACCTTTAATGGGGAAGATGCCTCTGTCCAGCTGGTTGATGTCCTCGTAAGAACAAAAGCTGACATCACCGCCATCCAAGAAATGCGTTGGACGGGGCAAGACAAGCAATGCCTGGGGCCTTGCGACGTATACTACAGCTGCTATGTAAAGGAGCGGATTTGTGGTGAGAGAGAGAGACTCCGTCACCGAGTACTGGCGTTCACCCCGGTGGACGAGCGTCTAGCCATAATCCGCATCAAAGCGAGATTCTTCAACATCTCGCTCATCTGCGCTCATGCCCCGACGGTAGAGAAGGATGTGGTATCCAATGATCTCTTACATGAGCGCTTGGAGCGCACTTACGAGCGCTGCCCCGCCACGATATCAAAATCGTGCTTGGCGATTCAATGCTAGGGTGGGAAAGGAAGGGATCTTTGGAAACACCGTCGGAAAATTCAGCCTCCACGACGAAACGTCCGACAACGGACTGAGGCTGATCGATTTCGCTGGGGCCCGAAACATGGTAGTATGCAGTGCTATGTTTAAGCATAAAAAGATTCATCAAGCTACGTGGCTGTATCCGGATCGAAAAACGAGAGACCAAATCGACCATGTTGTGATAGACGGAAGGCATGCTTTCAGTGTTTTGAACTTACGCACACTCCGAAGCCCAAACAACGACTCGGACCACTATCTTGTTGCAGCCCGCCTCTGCGCAGCAAAAAATGTGCGCCCGAGTATGCAAGGAAAGCTTATCGTCGAAAAGCTGCAATCACAACAGACAGCCTGCTCTCAGAGAGCACTCTTCAACGATCGGGCGCAACGCGCGCTATGTGGGACCGCTATAGGGATCCGAAGAGGGAAGCGAGACATATCTGCTGCCATAAGAAGAGATAGGCCGAAATACGTGAGTGCGAAGAGCTTGAAATGCTGGCTGACAGGAAGAATGCCCGAAAATTTTACCAGAGAGTTAGGCGACTTACGGAAGGTTTCAAGACCAGGGCGTAATCCTGTAAGAACAACAATGGCGACCTAGTTACCGATGTTAAAAACGTACTTAAATTATGGAGGGAACACTTTTCGACGCTACTGAATGGTAGCAGCACGGAAAGTTGTGGAGAAGAATAACCCGAGCCCCCAGTCTATGATGAAGGAGCCGATGTTCCTCCGCCTGACCATGACGAGGTACGAATAGCAATAACGCGGCTGAAAAACAACAAAGCTGCTGGAGCTGAAAGCCTGTCAGCTAACCTATTTAAGTACATGAATGCTTCAACTCTTATGCAGAATAGGGTCAGATGAACGCATGCCCGGCGACTGGAATTTAAGTGTGCTCTGCCTAATCCACAAGAAAGGCGACCCGGCCATTTGCGCCAACTACCGCGGGATCAGCCTTCTAAGCATAGGCTACAAGGTCTTATCGAGCGTATTGTGTGAAAGACTAAAGCCCACCGTCAATGAACTGATTGGACGTTATCTTTTTCCTAGAAAATCCACCATAGACCACAATACTCCAAATCTTGGAAAAGACCCGCGAGAAAAGAATCTACACTCACCACTTATTTGTCGACTTTTAAGCCGCTTTCGACAGCACTAACAGGAGTTACCTATACGCCCCTATGTCTGAATTTGGCATCCCCGCCATACGGCTGTGTAAAATGACGTTGAGCAATACCACCAGCTCCGTCAGAATTGGGAAAGACCTCGCCACCAACCGCGGCTTCAGACAGGGCGACTCTCTTTCATGTGACTTCTTTAATCTGATGTTGGAGAAGATAATAAGAGCTGCAGAACTGAACCGCTCATGAACAATTTACTACAAGAGCGTGCAATTGCTGGCTTATGCCGATGACATCGATATTATCGGTATCAAAAACCGCGAAGTCTGTTCTGCCTTTTCCAAGTTGGATAAAGAAGCAAAGCGAATGGGTCTGTTGGTATACGAGGACAAGACGAAGTATCTCCTGCCATCAAACAAACAGTCAGCACATTCGCGCCTTGGCATCCACGTCACTGTTGGCAGTTATAATTTCGAGAAAGTAGAGAATTTCGTTTACTTGGGAACCAACGTTAACACCGATAATAATGTCAGGGTGGAAATCCAACGCAGGATCGCTCTTGCTAAAGAGTGCTACTTTGGACTGAGTAGGCGATTCAGGAGAAAAGTCCTCTCTCGATTCAGGAGTAAAGTCCTCTCTCGAGCTTCACAACGACATGGACATAGTGCAGCGAATTAAAATACAGCGGCTCCGCTGGCTTGGTCGTGTCGTTCGAATGGACACCGACACTCCAGCTCTGAAAGGATTCAACTCGGAACCCGCTGGTGGTAACAGAGGAAGAGGAAGGCCCCCGCTGAGATGGAAAGACCAGGGGGGCAACTCTGTAATGCGATGCGAAAGAGAAATGCGATGCGATAGGCAAATACATCGTAAGTAATACGCTGTGGCGATTGCCTATCGCATCGCATTTCTCTTTCGCATCGCATTACAGAGTAGCCCCCCAGGTGGGGGAAGGACTTGGCTTCACTTGGCATATCCAAGAGAAAAGAAAAGAAACGACTGGCGTGCTTTGGAATTCGGCCAGAAACGCTTAGGCGGTTACAACGCCAAATAAGAAGAAGAATTTTTCTAAAAATTCTGAGTACAAAGTATGAAACAGATTGAAACATAAAAATTTCAAAACCCACCAAGCAATCAATATACTCACGACACTATAGACCAAATATAGTAAAACTGCGTTTTAAGTTTTAGAATTTTTTTGATTAGAACCTTATAATTTCAAAGATATGATAAATTCTAAAAATTATTTAAAAAGATCAGTGCAATGTAGAAGAAAAATGGGTACCAGATGATAGAGAAAATTCTGTAGGATTTAAGAAAATCAAAATTTGTTGGGTTATTTTTTTAAGATTCGAGGACGTTGTCGAGCTTACATTAGTCCTTAACATATAATTTTTTCAAAATAAATACTGCAATATTTCAAGGATATTCAAGGATAAAATTTTTAAGGGCATTTTCAATATCTTATGCAACAAAAAAATTAATCTGTTCTTTCTCTACAGAATTTTATTTTTAATTTGATACCGATACTGTTTTCTTAAGTACATTGCACCAAATTTTTTAAACCATTTTCTGAATTACTCATATTATTCAGTTTTCAAAGTCCTTTTTAAAAATTCTGACGTCAGAGATAAAAACAAAAAACGCAATTTTACTGCATATATTTGGCCCATGGCCTCGCGAGTATATTGATTTTTTTTGTGTATAAAATTGCCTGTCACACGGGTTATGTGTATGTATAATTAGCTAGACATTTATAAAAAAACCGCCCAGTTCTGTGCTTTCTCGATAATTTTTTTGTAAAGAAATTTCGCATTCGGTGTCAAAATTTATAAAACAAAAAGCTCTACGATTTCCACATTAGTGGAACTGATTTCCACATGAGTGGAACTGATTTCATTGTCACATATGAAAAATATGAATTTAAAAGCGAAAAAGCTTTTGACTGCCGTAGCCGAGTAGGCAGAGATCATCGTATATACTTACAAGTATGGAATC